AACCTAATTTCAACGTTGTTTCAACGTCGAAACAGTAACGTCGATCCAATTTGCATAGTCAACCCTTTTTCAACGTTTATCCAACGTCTGGAAGGTCATTTCCAACGTTGATTCAACGTTGGATAAACGTCATTTTGCCCGCTGGGCTGTAGCTCAGTTGGTTAGAGCGCTGCACCGGAATCGCAGGGCCGTTCAATTCCTGCCAGAGACCTATAGTTGCATTTTGTTGCAACCGTTCCTGGGTAGATTTAAAAAATGTATAAAATTTAAAATCGAAATTTCCATCTGCAAATCGCTTCAACAATGGACCTTCCCATGAATTAACCAAAATTTTGATCTCAACAAGTCTGGACAAAATTTCATCATAGCTTGAAAGAGCATCGCAAAATTAGTAATATTCCAAAGTTTCGTTGCGAAATGTTGTAAAATGCGGATAATAATATAGCCTTGCGAAATTTGCAATTTTCAGTCATTTTAGATTACAAACGGGAAATGGTTACCACTTTACCAAAATTTTGATCTTAACTAGCCTAAACAAAAATTTCATCACAGCTTGAAAGAGCATCAAAAAATTAGTAATATTCCAAAGTTTCGTTGCAAAATGTTGTAAAACGCGGATAATATAGCCTTGCGAAGTTTGTAATTTTCAGTCATTTTGTATTACGCACGGAAGTGGTAACCATTTCCCGTTCGTAATCTAGAATCTACAAAAATTTAGTTTCTTATAAAACTCCTCTAATACATTTTTATCGCAATAGAACGATATTTTTCGATTTTCGCACTTTGTGTTGACACCTTGCATCCATTGTTGTGTAAATTTCATTACCTTTTATGGCAGTTAATAACGAACTGCTCAATTTCAACCAATGGGAACCCCGCGTCGTTCTAAGCAACGCACAGACGCGTTTTTATTAGCTAGGCCTGCAGGCTCTCTCTCTCAAAGAGAGCCTGTTCGCAGGCTACAAAAATCTAAACTTGACCATGCCTGCGTCGGAAAGTTTGCAAAAAACTAGATATAAGATAAGGTATTTAAGCGAGTAGTATGATTTTCGTATGATGTGCTAAAAGTTGCTATATTTTGCCAACTTTGAGCGCCTTGAACTCTCAAAACCCACTTGAAAAATAATGATTATGTTAATTTTCCAGTAAATTTAAGCGCTTCTCGAAAAAAATAATAATACTCATTACAATAACAAATTCTCAAATTATAAGCATGAACGTGAACCTTTTAGGTTGGTTGCTATGGGGACGTTTATCGTGACACAGGTGGTTTTAAAGTGGCTAATATATAAACTAGCATTTCCTAGCTAGCTTTGCAAACCTATGTTTAACTGAAACATAATGGCTTTGCGTTTTTTAAGTGTAAAGGCTGTAAATTTGCTCTTTATTTTTAGCCTTGTTCAAGTATGTCAATGTTGTACGACAAATGATACTTTGAACTGCACAAGTTCGAATTCTAAGCTGAAATGTCACGAAGCCGCCAGCTGTCTTAAAATGCATTGGACCAAAATGACTCCTTATGCTTATTATTACGAGGAAGATCCCACAATGCAGGAGTACGGAATTTTGATAGGTAACTTTTCAAATTGTATTTTTAAGCTTGTCTTTCCACATATCAACCATACCTAATCGTTGCGTGTGCCCCTTTGGTTCCCGCGCGAACAATGTAGGATGGGAGTATAATGACTTCGACACACGAGAAAACGCTATATGTTGCATTGCGATACTGGTTGAAGTGAAAAACTGACTTTAGAGTATATATGAATAGAGCATTTATGATCCTGTGGCCGGTTGTTCAAAGCTAGGTTAGCTTAACCCTATAGGTTAACCTAAAATTCAAAGCAAATTTCCTGACAGCTTGTCTATAAATTTGGAAATATTCCTTCAGAGATCTTGTATGGATCGATAGGAGTTTACTTCTCTGAAGTTTCGAAATAAACTACAGACGCGCAAAAATACTCGAACTAAAACAACAGGTTAAATTTTAACCCAGGGTTAGCGCTAACCCACCTTTGAACAACCAGCCCCGAGAGACATATATTAATTTAAACATTTTTCGACGTCTGTCGAGAGACGGATGTCTCGTCTCGCGTAAGGAAAAGATACTTCGGATAACTTATAATTAGTTAGTTATCATCTTTACCTGTACCTGGGACTCGAAGGCTTTCAAAGGGCGTCTCTGCCCACCTTAAGCCTATTCGGATAACGGATTTGCATCGGAGCGAGTCGAACGATATTAACTAAGACGCTTTTCGGCCTTTTACAACTTTTCATATTTGAGGTTTTTGACTAATTCTGTTATATTATCATAATTTTGAGTGCTAAACTTCCCTTGAAACTGTAAAATTTGATGTCGCTCCGATGCGAATCCGATATCGGGCAACTGGGTCCTGAGCCGTCACGCGAGTTTTCTCATCAGCCGAAATACAACATTTCAGAACTCAAAATACGCGGAGTGATTATAACTATAGAGAATACATTAATAGATTTATATGTTGTTAACAGGTATAGACTATTATAAACTGGCCGTTGGACGAGAAAGATCGTGACTCTATTCTTACAATCATCACGACCATATATAGAAACTAGGCTCTATGACTAATTTTAGGTAGTTAGTTAATACTTTATTTAAAGAGGGAAAAAAACAATATTTACGTAGTTAATAGTTACCACTAAGTTATTCTTCCCTATGTCCCTTATAAAGATACTACATATAACTATACGTGACTGTACATGTTTTATGACCTATACCGAAGCATTGACAAAACACGGCATGTTTGCATATAGCGCAGGAATATTTATCAACTATTTTCAAATAGTGTTTAGATGACTAGGTAAGGAATTAAAAAGACTTGCACCACAAACTAAATGGAGCTTCGTCTCGGTTTGAGCAGACCTTGTGTTAAATACCAATGAACACTTCGCGACAAAAAGCAAACATACATCCAGATCAACTGGTAATGACTGGATATGACTGTACATGTTTTATATGACCTGTTAGCGAAGCGTAGATAAAGCACGACATGTTTGCATATATAGCGCAGAAAAATTCATCTACATGTTGTACTTTTTGCTTCAATTGGAGAAAGAACTCTTTGGGTTTTATTGTAAAAGATAAAAGCGTATAATTTTTAATATAGTTTTTAGATCACTATAGGTAAGGAATTGAAAAGACTTGCATCACTATAGGATATTTTAGCTTACAAAAAGCAAACATATGACGCAGGTCAACTGGTAATGGTGTTTTCAAACGTGTCTGATCACGGAGCTTTTACGACAGGTTGTCTTATAGAATGTCTAACTTGCCACCTGAACGTGGGCATATGTTGTCTTGGATGCTTGCCTTAGTATAGAAAACAACAAGTTTTCTATATATTATTATTGTCATAATTCATTTAGCTATATAGCGCCATTTCCCATAGCTCAATATCGCTTAACATTAAGCGATAAAAATGTATACAAAATGTTAGAATATATTACATGCATTAACTACTAAAATTAAAGTTACTACCTGTATATATATGCTTTTTTCATTATAAGAATATAAAATTACTTATTGTCATGTATGTTGACAATATTAAAACTTGTTAAAGTAATAACTTAGTATCCTTTTCCGGCTGATAATTTCAGCAAAAATAAAACAAAAATTATTCCGAGTAAGGAGTATATATCATATCTTGTATATAGTATTATACATCATATAATATATAATTATAGGAGTATATATCATATCATATATATAGTATTTTACATATCTTGCAAAACACTGCTGAAGATGAATCTGATTTAGATTCGAAATATACAGGTTTTAATAAATTGTGTGTTAATATTATGCACTCCTTACTCGGAATAACTTTTGTTTTAGTTTTGTTTTAATAACTTAGTCATACTACTGTTTAAAAAGATATGTCTTTAATCTTGTTTTAAAAATGGGCAACGTCCCACTCTTTCTAATATACTCTGGCAGTTCGTTCCACAGTTTTGGTGCAGCTATGCATGTCAGATATGAGAACGATCGTTCACCATAGTTCATTAGTTTTACTGAGGGTGTGGTCAGGAATCCTTTGGATGTGGAGCGTAAATTTACTGATAGTGTGAAGGGTTTTATTAATGTATTGTGAAGCTATGGCAAACGTCGAATCTATAATGCAAATGAAGTGCATGAAACAAAGAACTTAGCTTATTAACATTAGGTTCGGCACATGAAAAGTTCGACGTTTGACCCTGCATGCCTAAACCATTCAGAGATTTATATACGGTTCAAGCAATATATATAGGACTCAGACATTCAAATTATAACAAACAAGGTGAATTTCTAATCTGAAATTTTGTCATTTCGCATCTGTTTAAATTGAGCCATTGCTCTGTTCTTTAATTAACCACTGCTAAACATTTTGTTTACAGGAATCGCAAAGGTTCTGCTGCAACGTTGCTGTGGAGAATGTTGGTTAATCCAAGAAACTAAACCGGTGAATTTCACGGATTTTTACGAAACCGAGCCAGAGGATGCAGGTCTAAGCCTACCTTACATAATGAGTGCTGCTGACTATCACGTTAACAAAACATACGTGCCTGTTATAAAAGATCCTTCCAGTGCTTATGTGAAAAAGAAAGAAGGTTGAGTATGGCTATGCTGGTCTTTATAAATATACGAAAACAGAAAATATTTAAACGTGATAATTAACGCACGAACTTGACAAAGTTTGAGTACCTTTTTTTATGCGCCCTGACCCTGTAGTTCGCTATACTTAACGAATTACAATTTTCAAGTGGCGAGTAGCTTTTGACTATACTTTTTAAAACAGTAGTTGTAGCTGTGTGAACTAGATTTTTTCATCAGCGAAGACAAAGTTGTTGATTACTTTTCAAGGAACAACCGCTATTGGCTACTTTTCAAATTTCTCTTCGATAGACACATTTTGCTAATGTTGTTTACATTGTTGCTACCAACAAAGGTAACTAAGCATTAGATCTAGAATTATGTATAAGGCCTGCCTCGTCCCTCGTCGCTTCAGTTGGGAATAGAGATCAGTGGAAAAACAATGGGAGCGTGGTGCTTAATGGGAATGCGATAGAATCTGAAATCAGCGCTGCTCAAATTACGCGACCGCGCGTACGAATGAGGGACTGTGGAAGAGTCAGGTATAAGGCCCTGTTCACACGAGACCGGAACGCCAAACCGGGACCCAGGGCATTTTTTTAACTATATAACTACTGGGGCATTTACCCCAGTGGGCCCTTCGCTTGCCACGGGAAAAAAAGTGAAATCCATACTACGAAATTTGCAACTGCACCACTAAATCCATAGTATTTCCATACTATATCCATAGCATGGAAATATACAATTATTATGGATAACCAAAATCCATTCTATTTTCAATAAAGGTCCATACAATTTCCATTCTATGACCTTCTATGGATTTTCAAAATTTTTTCCAGTGTGCCCCAAGTAGTGAAGCATTATTTTCAGATGAGCGCGCCCTTTCGATCATTAGTAAGAAATCATCCTTGCTGAAAAAGCTGCATCTGCCTGCTTTCTCATATCCCTCACATTCTCGACGTTCCATCTTATGAAAGTCAGCACAGCATGGTCTTTATACGCGTAATATATATAACTGCGTGAGGAAAAGGCCCTCATTGAGGCTTAATCCCAGTAGTTGTAATTTCTTAAAAATGCCCTGCCGAGACCATTTCTAACAAGTCTGATGCAGTCATGATATAGCAATATTGTTACAACCTTGCGTGACGTTGCGTCGTCAATCTTGTGATATTCTTGTTATATCATGACTGTATCAAACTTGTTAGAACAATCATATAACAAGTCTGATAATGCCATCAAGCTCGTTACAAGTTGTTAACAACTTTGTTCCAAACTTGTTACAACAACTGGGAACAAGCAGTGCGAACACAACTTGTCGACACCTTGTGAACAGATTTGTAACAACTTGTTTGCAGACCTGTGACAACTTGTGCGTTAAACAAACATCGGTTTTTGGTATCATTTCTAGGTTGGAAAACTTTAGTGAAGAACCTGATGTCAACTCTATGGGATGCATGGCCTGTCTTGATTACTGCGTTGTTGTTTTCTTGGATTTCTGGCATGATTATTTGGGTTATAGTACGTAATGCTTTAGTAGTCTTAACTTTATAAACTGACTTAGGCATACTGGATAGCTCTATATTAGTTCTATAAACTGTTCTCCCTAGAGGTCCAGTAAGGATCATCTCTTATTGATCCAGTGTTACTGCGGGAGGAAACCTAAACTAAACTAACTTTATTTATACTGGATAGCTCTATCAGTTCTAAACTGTTCTTCCTAGAGGTCCAGTAAAAGCATTCTGTATTACTTTTGAGTTAGGTTGAAATTCGCAACATTGAAACTTTACGTTACAGGAAATGTGGTGGGATGATGAACAGTTTCCAAGAAAGTTTCTCAGAGGATCATGGGAAGGATTTTGGTGGGCTTTCGTTTCTATGACAACGGTTGGGTAAGTAAATCCTAGCTGAGTTTCAGTAAGATGTATACGCGTAAACATCAGGATTTTGGGCGGCTCACTCGATAAAGTGAAATGCGTCCTCAAAATATCCAATCCAAAACCGTTGATTCTCCATCCAGCATCGTCTCAAAGCATTAATCCTATTAAATCTAACCAATCTTACACAAGTAAAAGAAAAGAACCCCAAACTTTGCTTCAAATTGAGCAGCCTCCTTCTTCCAAAGGCAAGGAAACTAGCCCCACTTCACCTACAAGCTCTGTTATGTCCCCAAGAAGCGCAAGAAAGCGTAATTAATTGCAGAAAGGTTTTTGTAGTTGGAAATTTTCAGTGTAAAATTTATACATTTATTACAAGATTTACAACGCAATGTCAGACATAAGTTTAACAGAAAATCAGTGAGCATGGATAGCATTCACACTTTTGTGGTAATTTTCATCATTCATTTATTTGGTATGCCGGTCAGGTGAGGAGAAGGTCGACAAGTGAAATGCGGAACAATTAAGTTATCGACTGTGAATACGTGTTACATAACCATGGCTTTGCGCCAGAGGGTTTTACCACTTGATGGCAGCAAAAGTTGTTTTGAAGGATTTGTAAGAGATGTTTGAGGGAGTGTTAAACACTGAGTCAGTTCACTCAAACATTTCTTAAAAATCCTTCAAAACTTAGGTTAGCAATGCAATACCTATGCAAAATTCCTAACCCACGAATAAAGCCTCGCAGTTTCTATATGTAGTTACTGTTAAACATATCCGTTTTTTTCTGTAGTTATGGTGACCGCACACCACGTACCTTTCCAGGAAGAGTGTTCGCTATATGCTGGATCATGATTGGTATTTGTATCTGCTCAATATTTACCGCCACCTTAACATCGGCTTTGACCATGGATAGCTTTGACGTCCGCAAAACCATCACCCGAACAAAGGTATTTGGGGAGTCTTGTGCTAATATTTATTATTAAGATATGATATTTGTTGTTTTTAACCAGGAAGAATTGGGTCGAAGCACTTTGAGCCCCGTAAATTACACTATTATACATTCAGGGTTACACTACACGTTTGTTTGCGTATAAAATGATTCGCTCAATGATTCCTTTTGTCTCATTAAATACTGACACGTGTGAGTGCATTTTTTTTTATTACTGTTATCGTGGAAAGTTAGCCAAGCGTAAGAATGCCAAGCGTAAGAATGCCAAGCGATTGGCAAATATGAAAGTGAAACCATGCAATGTATTAAAATTATTTAACGTTAAATAAACACATATTGGCAGCTTAAGGAGACGAATTGTTCACACTTCAACTACATCGTAAAATTACATTTATTCAGTATACAAAGTGTAAACGATAGTGATAAATATACGTTGCGTCTAGGCTGTAGGAAGAAAACTATATCGTAAATTACGAAGTCTTTACACTCCGTTCCAAGTAACTTAGTATTTAATGTCATGGCTGTTCGAAAACTATTTACGTTTATGTTTTGCTTTACGTTTATGTCTTGCATTATGTTGAAGGACTGCTGTTTTAACGGCGGTTTTAATTTCCTTCTGTGAGTCTTTCTGTGAGCGTCTCGATGAATCCTTATGCCAATCCGTTGCTCCCCCTCGCGACTTATCCTTTACTAGTCCTTTTTTTCGAGCTGCTTTTTGGGCTGCTGTTTCAGCATCACGCATCTTGTTTTCTGCTTTAACAGAACCAACTAACTTGATTTTATCGTTTTCTTCGTCTCTTTGTATCTCTTTCAATCGTTCTTTTGGATCTTCAGAGCTACCAATTTTGTAGTAGTTGTCTCCTTCTATCTTCTGATGCATAATATACACGTAACCTGGGTCATTCCAACGTCCAGCAGCGCCACCTGTCTGACTGTTCGCCATATCTGAGCGAATTACTGGTGTTTGTCCTTTGCTACGAACTACGAAGGAGGACTAAAAGACTGTGGACTGTCTGAATGTTACAACAAATTTGAACAAAAGTGTAAAGCATGGCATATATTAACCGCCTCTATCAGCTTGTTGCCGCTCAATCTGCGGGAACCAGCTTGTTCCCGCCCACTCGCAATCTCGAACACTGAGCCTGCAATATCCTCTGGAGGCTTGCTGAGGCTCTGGGAAACATAAGCGAATTTTGAACGAAAATCAGTACATATGGACTGCAGTACCCAGTCGATATTTATAATTAGTTCATATTTGTGCGGATATCTATTGTTCTCAATAGGGTTTTATTTGGGTAAGAATCTAAAAGCAAGGGGAGGGATTTGATATCTCCACAGGGAAAAGCGGGGTTGATGAATAGAATTGAATGCCTAATTAAAAATGCAAGGTATCTAACTCCATAGTGACCCCTTTTGGAGGTCACTATGGACTTGCTCAGCCTAGACCTAGGCCTTCTAGTCTTGTTTATATGTTTTTAATATTCAGCGCTTTTTCACATGAAAAGACTGGGCTAGGTGATTTGGGGGCGGGGCGAAGGAACCAAGCCTAGAAGGCCTAGTTGATTTCCCAACAACAAGGCCAAAACTGCCCTGAAACTGCCCTGGTTGGGAAATGCCCAATTATTGCGTTCTCAAACAGAAGTATTTGCAACTTAACGGCGAATTTAAACGGATACAGGTAAAATAAACTCATTTATAGTATAAACTTACTACTTTTATTTGTATACACGTCTAGAAAATCGGGTTTTTTATCATAAGTTTGAAGCAACACTATTATTTAATATGTTGACAAGGTGTAGCGAAAGCACAAAATGAGTCAAAATATATACCAAAAGTAGAATCTTTCATGAAATTTTGTCTTATACACAACTACATTAATATATATTTTATAAATTTTGGCAAGAAGCAGTCTTGTGTTTGTAAAATATACAAACACATATACAATTATAATTTATTAAATAAAACGGATACATATATTATTAGCCCGTACAGTACTGTATATGAAAACGTACATTGTTTATAAATGGTATATCCAGTGGCGTAGCTAGTGAAGTTCGACAGGTCCTGCTCTAAAAGTTCCACATTCTAGGGGGGTTCGGGGGCATGCTCCCCCGGAAAATTTTTAATTTTAGAAGTCTGGAATGGCCATTTCCTGCGATTTCACGGCAAAATACTCCAAAGGCAGCATAAAAAAATTAGATACTTTTCTAGAAAAAAATTTGTCACTTTTTAAAATCGTATTTCCATATTTATCATATTTCACTATCAGATATTTTTCAACTTAAAAATTTAGCTAAATATAGTCAAGTCGGTGTAAGAGGAAAATATCATGTTTTCAATTAACTATGTTTCAATACACGTCTGTAATATGATCTTTCACTTTGTCAACGTGCAATTGCGTAACTGAACAATTGTTGCAGCGCCTGTTGAATATACAACACTACAATGACTACATATACGGCTAGCATTCGTTAAAAAATTACTACGTTTGTTAGTAATGTTTAATAAGCTTTAAACGGAGTGGTATCAACTACGGACCACTACGCTTGGTACTCTGATTGTATAATTCAGTACGCTATGCCTATGGCTAATGCTATGGTATTTAAATATAATAAAATTGCCGTAGCGTTTAAAGTAAATATAGTGTATTAAAATGCGGCCAAATATCTACATAAATAACATAAACTTTGTAAATCTAAATGGTAGCTATATCATTTTTAAACTCCATATAAGCGCTCGTGTTTCATGCCTCGTTTCATGCAATAGCAGCAATGCATAAAGCAGATGAACTGGGAAATATAAATACGTTCATACTTTATATCAAAATACGACACAAAATACACGATCGAGTCTGTTGACATGCATTTCGTGAGCTAAAATATCTTAGCAGAAGCCAGAAATTATATCCAAATCACAATGGGCTTTCACGCTGGTTGATTTCCATATTCATCACTTGAGTAATCTTGACATAGTAAAAAGTGGGTTTAATCACGCGGAAAGCTCGCAAGTAAAGACCCTGGTAAAGACAATACAAGGCCAAGTCCTGCCATTTCGAGAGAGCAGGACTTCGCATTTGTAAACAGCCGGTTTGAGCATGCGCAGATCTAATTATCCAATCAGAAAGCAAGATTTCTTGTATGAATTTACTATGAAATATACTAGCAAGTCCTGCCATTTGAAAATGGCAGGACTGAAACACGAGCGCGTGTAAATCAATATATTGCCCGGAAATGAGCTTTTATAGAGTTGCAGTTGCTAGGTAACAGACACGGCAAGCTGTAAAATTGCGTAAATGTAATAGAATACGGGAAACTTTTAAAAAATAATAACGAAAAAGACGAGAAAATTATACAAAATAACAGTATGATAATAATATATTTTTAAAGCTTCAAGCTAAATAAAGTAATGTTTTACTAAGGAAATTTGGGGAAATTTTTAGTCCTGCTGGGCAGGACAAGCAGGACCGCTAGCTACGCCACTGGGTATATCCGTAATATTTGAACAATAATTTCAAAATCCTCATTCCCAATTCGCAAATATAGTTATTCAAAGCAAAACAGAAGATTGTCTTGCGAATAAAAGTTATTATTTTGTACTTTCGCTTCACCTTGTCAACATAATAATAGTGTTGCTTCAAACTTTATGATAAAAAACCCGATTTTCTAGACGTGTATGCAAATAAAAATAGTAAGTTTATACTATAAATGAGTTTATTTTACCTGTATCGGTTTAAATTCGCTGTTAAGTTGCAAATAATTCTGTTTGAGAACGCAACAATTGGGCACTTCGCAATCAGGGCAGTTTCAGGGCAGTTTTGGCCTTGTTGTTGGGAAATCCACTAGGCCTTCTATTTTTCCGCTTGCGTCAGGCTTGTGTCATTCCTCCGCCCCGCCCCCAAATCACCTGGTCCCAGTCTTTTCATGTGAAAAAGCGCTGAATCTTAAAAAAATATAAATAAAAATAGAAGGCCTAGGTCTAGGCTGGGACTTGCTATGGAGTTAGATACCTTGAATTTTTAACCAAACTCAAACCCCACATCTCCTTTTCGACTAGAAAACGCTGCACGTCTCTGAGTCGAGAAAGAGACAACAGCCGTGTACGTCAAAGCCCGTCAAACTCTACCTTTGGGTAGAATATTTATCATTCGGTGCACGAGGACTAGCTGAACCATATGGCTGAACCGACCATCAAACTTGCTTGTGCAAGGAATTTATACAGTAATATCTGCTCTTTCGCTTGTGGGACGCGAAATGATATACTACGCATGCTCAACCACATTAAAGCGTGTTTAATGCGCATGTTCAACCTTATTTCGTCTCACAACCTCCCAAGGACAATAGAAAATGGTCGGTCTTTCATTGAAATTCAAGCCTCGGTGCTGCACGCCTCGGTCTTGAATTTCAATGAAAGACCTCCCATTTGGTTTTTATCCTGCAAATAAAACCCTGTTGAGAACAACTTGAGAATCTCTGCTTCGACAAACCCGTACAAATCTTCGTTAGCTCTTCTCGGTTGTATGAGCTATTTCAAACATATTTCATCGTAATTGTGGTTGGCGAACGAATATTTAATCACTTCTCATTGATAGTATACAGTAGTGTGACACGAGAATTGATGCATATCAAAATAGCCCTGTTTGTTTTTATTACAACCATGGTAATTCAAACTCATTTAAAGAACAATACATATCATAAAGTAAATTTCATTGTGGGTCAATCCTTACAAATATGAACTAAGTTAGTTAGATACCTCAAACGTCGGCTCTTAGTCAGATAAATCCCTCGGGGCCTACGGCCCCTCGGGTTTGTATCTGACTAAGAGCCTCCGTTTTCGGTATCTAACTCTTACATAAACATTGCTGCGGCCAAACGTGAATTATGCCGTTGTTCAAGCTTATTACGACTCGCCATCGCTTTGAAATGTTGTAAGATACTGGTAGTGATTTATTTAACTTTTCAATTACGGTAAATCATAGATTGGTGTGTTGCTAGCCTTGAGAGTAATGCCTATTTCGATATTAGTAAATAACTCTGGCTAACAACACAGGGAGCCCATCCCGGGTCATATTGAAGTTGTGTATTAGAATTACGTATGAAATATATAGCTCAGTGTTGAAGCCTGCGATTTGCGGGCTGTGTGCGGGCTAACGCGCGCGTTGTATACACAATTTCTGTGCTAACAACTCCAAAAATCCTTGGCTACCTAAAATCCTTGGCTACCAACGCATAAATAAAATTTACAGCCATGACTTCGCGTCGGCCTATAACATGGAGCTCGTCTGAATAATTCTTTTGCCACAGTCGAAAATTAACTATTACCGATTTTATAATGACGTCATAATGTAGGGAACCGAGTAAAGGTGACGTCATTCATTTCGTTTTTTATGGTAAAACCGTTCATAACGCTTCAGGTTTCGCGGATTAATTTCCTCATAGCAACATATTGCGTTAAAAATTTCTTCGCGTATAACCATATTGTCTTGTAGGACTTGATCTGTTTTTATTCTTCGGCAAACACTATAGGCCAATTTGATTTGAACTGTTATCCTACCACAGGCGGCCCAGGCGTGTATCGGTATATAGTAAATATATATAATTATAGTATATACTACACAGTATAAAAATTTGTAATGAATTTTATATTTTAAAATCATATTTATACTTGCGTACTTTGATTGTATGTGATCGTCTTTTATTTCTGGGCGACTTTACACTCTGCGACTGTCATCATAGGTGTAGGAATGTTACCTGTGATGACAGGCACAGAGTGTAAAGTCGCCCAGAAATAAAAGACGATCACATACAATCAAAGTAAGCAAGTAAATATTATTTTAAAATATATAATTCATTACAAATTTTACTGTGTAGGGGGCCCGTGTAGTATATTCTATAATTATATATTTACTATATACTGATACATGTCTGGGCCGCCTGTGATCCTACTGACACCATTTAAATCAACGGATTTTTTCAACGATCGGTTTTACACAATTGGAAATACAGATAATTTTACCGGTTCCGATTGTCTACCGATAAGGCAAAAATCGGCCCGACGCCGATACCGATTATCGGTCAATCACTAATAATATCGTTCATGGCTGGTCAGCCTATACTCTGTCTTGCAGTCAGATCTGTAAAGCTTGTCATATATGTGGGGATTGTCTATTTCGCGATTATAATCAGAGGCGCCGGAATATCGATAATTGGGGGGGGGGGGCAGATATTCATATATTCGTGTTCTGCCCAATTAATTTCTTTTGAAATCGATTGTTTTTACAGTCTGCGAACACGAATATATGAATGTCTGCCCCCGCAATTATCGATATTCCGGCGCCTCTGGTCATAATATTTCTGAATGACATTTATATAGGTTGGTGTTTTGGCGAATTCGGTGGAAGCTATTACTGCAATTCAAAACCAAGCTGACATATTTTGTAAGTGTAACTCTCAGTGATGAAAATGGTTATCTTGAAGTAATAGAACAAGATCCAGAATAGCTCAGAATAAGCTCGACTATCTGAACTACCTGAAAAATATCTCAAACGTGGTGGTCCAGTGTAGGTAGAATTCTTCAGTAAGCTTACTAAGCTGCCGTGGTTTGTGTCTGAACTACCTGAAAAAGATCTCTCAAACGTAGTGGTCCAGTGTAGGTATAGTATTCTACAATAAACTGCCGTGGTTTGTGTCTGAACTACCTAAAAAAGATATCTCAAACGTGGTGGTCCAGTGTAGGTAGTATTCTACAATAAGCTGCCGTGGTTTGTGTCTGAACTACCTAAAAAAGATATCTCAAACGAGGTGGTCCAGTGTAGGTAGTATTCTACAATAAGCTGCCGTGGTTTGTGTCTGAACTACCTGAAAAAGATATCTCAAACGTGGTGGTCCAGTGTAGGTAGTACTCTACAATAAGCTGTCATGGCTTGTGTCTGAACTACCTGAAAAAGATATCTCAAACGTGATGGTTCAGTGTAGGTAGTATTCTACAATAAGCTGCCGTGGTTTGTGTCTGAACTACCTGAAAAAGATATCTCAAACGTGGTGGTCCAGTGTAGGTAGTACTCTACAATAAGCTGTCGTGGCTTGTGTCTGAACTACCTGAAAAAGATATCTCAAACGTGATGGTTCAGTGTAGGTAGTATTCTACAATAAGCTGCCGTGGTTTGTGTCTGAACTACTTGAAAAAGATATCTCAAACGTGATGGTTCAGTGCAGGTAGTATATTCTACAATAAGCTGCCTTGGTTTGTGTCTGAACTACCTGAAAAAGATATCTCAAACGTGGTGGTCCAGTGTAGGTAGTATTCTACAATAAGCTGCCGTGGTTTGTGTCTGAACTACCTGAAAAAGATATCTCAAACGTGGTGGTCCAGTGTAGGTAGTATATTCTACAATAAGCTGCTGTGGTTTGTGTCTGAACTACCTGAAAAAGATATCTCAAACGTGGTGGTCCAGTGTAGGTAGTATTCTACAATAAGCTGTCGTGGTTTGTGTCTGAACTACCTGCATGAAAAAGATATCTCAAACGTGGTGGTCCAGTGTAGGTAGTATTCTACAATACGCAGCTTCTTATTGTATTCTGACATCCCGCAAGGCTACTTGCTGACAAGGAAACGATTATACCAAAGACTTTGCGATGATTGTAGTTAGAATTTCTTGCTTTTTATAGACTACAATAAACCAGGGGAAGTATGGGATGCTGTACTTTAAGGCAAAGTTGACGGTATAATATTTATATTTTGATTAATTTAGGTTTTATTTAGATAGGATCTTGTAGGCGATACAGGACGTTCTCATCTCGCCCAGCCAGGAAACTCTTGCTGGCGAGATGCCGTGTTTAGCCTATATGGACAAAAATATTCCCAGGATGAAAGCTGTTTAAGTGCTTGACCTCATATTTTGCACAGAAAAGAGGTTTGCGCGTACTTAGAAGGAAAGTTCATTCAGTCTACACGCGTAAAAATCTTATAGCTTGTCAACAAGGTGCGTTCCCACTGCTTGTTCCCAGTTGTTGACAAGTTTGGAGCAAGTTGTTATCATCTTGTAAGAAGGTTGATGAGGCCAACAGACTCGCAACAAATCGGATATCATCTGCATGCACGCAAAAAGTTGTTAACAAGTTGATGATTACTGCAAGCTCGTCTTGTTGGAACAACTTGTAGCAAATCTGTTACCGTCATCAACCTTGTACGAAGGTGATGACAACTTGTTCCAGACTTGTCACAACAACTGGGAACAAGCAGTGCGAACACATCTTGCGGCTTGACAACAACCTTGTTACAACTTGTTTGCACATCTGTAACAATCCGGGATCACGTCTATGAGAGGATTAGGATTGGAATAGGCAATTCCAGCTATGGACTAAATCTAGGCAAGACGAACAAAATCTATTACCACAGCTAGAAAGAGCATGTTAAAATGAGTAAAATTGCAAAGTTTGGTTGCGAAATGTTTTAGAATGCGGAAAATATATTTGTATATTGTAAAATAACTTTTCCAACCCTGGTTGTCAATATGGATATTGGACTGATATTTTTGTTTTATTCATGTTGAGGTATTTTATTGGACTATTACTACGCCTTGTCTCACGAGAAAAACTTGACTGACAAAGATCTGGTGATTGTGAATGTATTCAAACCCAAGGATTGGTCGATCGGAATTAACTTGATGTCCAAAGAACTGGCGAATTGCATGAGGGATAAATACAACCACGATTACGCCAGAATTCTGTACGATGCGATTGCCAATGAAAGCATTTCTGATCCGGTGAGTTTAAGGCTGTTTTTGTATAGATATATCAACACTCTATTACATTACATGTGAAATAGCCTGGATCTATCTTGTCTTTTGTGTGCTGTATGTAAATCAGTCTTTACTGACTGTAGAGATATATCAACACTCTATTACATTACATGTGAAATAGTCTGGATCTATCTTGTCTTTTGTGTGCTGTATGTAAATCAGTCTTTACTGACTGTAGAGATATATCAACACACTTTTACATTACATGTGAAATAGTCTGGATCTATCTTGTCTTTTGTGTGCTGTATGTAAATCAGTCTTTACTGACTGTAGAGATATATATCAACACACTTTTACATTACATGTGAAATAGTCTGGATCTATCTTGTCTTTTGTGTGCTGTATGTAAATCAGTCTTTACTGACTGTAGAGATATATCAACACACTTTTACATTACATGTGAAATAATCTGGATCTATCCTGTCTTTTGTGTGATGTATGTAAATCAGTCTTTACCGATTGTAGAGATATTAGCCTGCGTGCAGCCTGACTTGTCCCCAGTTGAAGTCAGGCTGCACGCAGGCTAAGAGATATACACTCTATTACAATAGTCTGAATTTAGAATTAATATAGAGCTAACCAAATTTTAAGATGGTTTTAAATAGAAATTCTTCCTTTGCTTTCATTTAGACTCAAACTACATCTGGTAGTCAAATATCTGGAATCTTTGACCCAAGTGGAGAGTTGTTTCGTTATATACTGATCTTCTCAACTGTGGGAGCATGCCTTATGTTCATCGCTGGCCTCGGTTGGGATTTTGTCCGCCGAGGAAAGAAGATAGGTTAGATTAACATTCGTGTATATATCGTAACTAACTTTATTTATACTGGATAACTCTATCAGTTCTAAACTGTTCTCCCTAGATGTCCAGTAAGGATCATCTCTTATTGATCCAGTGTTACTACAGGAGGAAACCTAAACTAAACTAAATTTATTTGTACTGGATAGCTCAATCAGTTCTAAACTGTTCTCCCTAGAGGTCGCGTAAGGATCATTTCTTATTGATCAAGTGTTAATACAGGAGGAAATCTAAATTAAACTAACTTTATTAAGATTTATACTGGATAGCTGTATCAGTTCTAAACTGTTCTCCCTAGTGGTCCAGTAAGGGTCATCTCTTATTGATCCATGCATTACAGGAGGAAAGCTGAGCTAAACTGAATAGCTTTATCAGTTCTTATGTAAGGATCATCTCTTATTGATCCAGTATTACTACAGGAGGAAACCTGAACTAAACTAACTTTATTTATACTAGAGGTCCAGTAAGGATCATCTCTTATTGATCCAGTGTTACTACGGGAGGAAACCTAAATTAAACGAATATTATTTATACTGGATATAGTTCTATTAATTCTAAATTGTTCTTTTTGGAGATCCAGTAATAACTTATTATTAACCGAGCGCAATCGTCTTGCTGAGAAATATCGGAATCTAGGTCATTTTTGTACAGACCGAGCAAGCGAGGTTAATAAAAAGTTTATTATATGACATTTATAGGCATTTATACTTGAAACAAACAAGAAATGCATAATTTGAAATGCATATTAGTAGCGTGGTACACATTTGGTCGAACAAAACAAAAATTACCAATGTATTTTTTCCCTTGCACTAAAAACCATTCGCAGATATCTTGTTAATAACAAATTAAACTATAATTTTCAAATTTTCAAATAGTTTTGCTGTTTTATTTTAAAATGCATGCGTTTGTTTTTACGTAATGGACCGACCGATTACGGGAAAATAATCGACTTCTGAAAGTGCTTCTCAGCCAATCACAGTCTACCATTTACCGGAAGTGATGCTTGCCATATCGTAAGTGCCTCTTGTCAAGTGTTACTACAAGAGGAAACCTTAACTAAAGTAATTTTCTGCTCTGAAATCAATTCATCCTAGAGGTCCAGCAAGAATCTTTTCTCCTTGATTCAGTGTTACTACAGGAAGGAACCTGAACTTAACTAACTTTATTTATACTGGATAGCTATATCAGTTAAATTGATCCAGTATTACTACAGGAGAAAACCTGTACTCTATCAGAATCAATCTCCTCTGATATGATTTAGTAATTTTTCAAATTTCTCTTACAGCATGTAAGTCTGAGAAAAAGTTGGGCAGTGTCGAGGAGCAGCTAGTGTCTGAACTGCACACCGTATTCATGAATTGGAAGGAACGAAGAGCGACAGAGTCTTTTGATCTTCAATTGGAAAGCAAAGCATAAAGATTTATCAAGTTTGAAAACTGCTTAATTTTTTGTTCATGTTAAAGATTGTCGCTGTTTGTACACGCGTGCGTGCGTGCGTGCGTGTGTGTGTGTGCGCGCGCGTGAACTTTGACAGTGAAAAAGTTGATCAATTAAGATGAGATTTTCTACTATAAAGACACATTGCATTTCTTCTCAGAATGACCCAAATATTACACATACCAAAATTATATTTGGGGTTAGTTGCACTTTAATAGATAAAGTAATAGATACAACATGAGCGGCCATGTTGCGTCAGATATACAAACTCGTGTCGAAGGCGAAAGTTGACAAGGTGGGTTAGGATAAACACAGTTAAGAAAGTAATCACAATTGTTGTAAAGATAAATAGTCTAAGCTTAGTAGGTAATACAAGTAAGCATAATACTTGATGTAATCGGCCACTGAAAAGCCCCAATGGGGAATGAGCTGAATAATCATATAGTCAAAAAGTGAATGTGTTTATAGAGTGAAATCCGCATTTACAAACGAGCATGAAACAAGGCCGGATTTTGGTGGAAATAGTGGGGGCGGAGGTGGAAACAAATTTAGTGGAGTTGCAGCGGTCTAGCTCACGATCCCCATGGAAAGTTACCGCTTACGTCAACGTATAGACTTGCTCCAAGTCTCTCTTTCATTGTCATATAGTATCGGTCCAGTATAGTGTATATTACATGACGTAGTACGGAGGGGCGGAGCGAGAAAGAGAGACTTGTCAACTTCGGAAAATCTTGGTTCAAAACTGAACAGAAAATGCAAGACTTGCTTTAATTGTTTTCCTTCAATTTCTTTCTGTATTATTTACTATAATGGAACTCGTGTTATTTACACTGTGCTAGATCAATACATATAAACACTGACAGAAAACGATTAAGGCCCCGATTACACTATACCGGATTGCATCGAAGCGACGCGATTTCTGTACCGGATTGGCCTCTTGTTTACACTACGCCACTGTAATCCGGTACGTGCCGCGGCGCGAAAATCACTTCGCTTTGGAGGTGATATGAAAAGTAATCCGGTACGTGCTGTACCGGATAAAACCAAGTGTAATCAGGCAATCCGGTACTATAAATAGGTTTCGGCAAGTATATTTTAACATTGTCGTTTTATTTACTCGCTTTTAAATATTTTATAGCTGTTGTTTGCTTCGCTTTACAATTATTTATTATTTCTAGCGAAGACAAATAAAGATAGCGGTAATAACATTGACTTCTGCTTTCAAAAGGGCAAAATTTAATGAAATACTCGTCAATTTTCGATAAGAGCGAGACAAAGCAACGTCGGGTGGTCAAGCTTTGTAAACAAAGTTATAATTCACAAGTACTGTCGAGAAAACGTCCAAAATGGTCAAAACTTATTATTTGTTTCCGTGGCAACGATAAAAGATACGAGCTGGCGACAGAGCGAAGCGGCATAGTGTAAACACCCTTGATTTGGGCTTCGGTGTGAAAATTGATCCGGTATGAAAATCAATCCGGTATAGTGTAATCCCAGCCTAAGTACAATGAAAAAATTACTGCGGAAAAAAGGAATTACAAATTCATTTACCGGCAAATTGTTAGTATATATATTATAATATCTTAAACAGTAGTTGTAAATAAAAACGGCATAAACTATGAAATTTGCAAGAATTTATCAAGATGATATTTCAATATATTAAAAATTTTACATGCAAATCGAAGCATGTAAACTCTTAAAACTTTATTTGCCAATATTTGGCGCTCTGAGCCTCGGAACAAATTGTGGTTCCACTTTCGCAATAAATTAAATAGTACTTCATGTAGGCTATCATGTCATGTGCAGTGATCTCGTTGAAAATTATTTCAGCCATTTTTCTGAATTTTTGTCGTAACGTTGTATTTTTTATTTCTCACTTTTAACAAAATAAGAAAAGGAATTTTCAACTTGCTCCTTGGAAAAGGAACACGTTCCTTGCTTTTGTAATTAATTACGTTTTTCGTTACATTTCTAAGGGCCTGTTCATATGATCCCGCTTACCGGGACGTCTCGCTTACCGAGACGAATATTTCCGTGCGTTCATATGGAGTATTTCGTCCCGCTTGCCGAGATGAAATTACATTGTAGTTCTATAATTAGCGTATGCAAAACTTCTACATTTCAGTCAAGCAACACAAATACTTAGCGATTTTAGTGTTTTTCTTCGTTTATTTACAAGAAAAAGTATTTCTTCAGATGCTTATTTAATACTTGTTTACAAAACAAACATAAAACCAAGTAAAACGTGTTAAATTAAACCGGCAAGACTTGTTGACTTCATTCAGGTAAGCGGGCTGGCGTGTTCATGTGGAAAAATTTGCATCCCGCCTACCTATGATCTCGGCAAATTCAAACGAGATCTCGGCAAGCGGGCCAGGTCGCTTTCTCATATGAACACAATGCAAAATTTTATAGGAAAATAGATAGGCGGCGAGATCATCGGTAAGCGAGACGTCCCGGTAAGCGGGATCATATGAACAGGCCCTAAAACCATTGAAAATTAACCCCCATTTTGTGCTTAAGTTGATGAATTTTACTTCTACTACTTTCTACTATCTTAAAACTATAATTATCAAGTAGGAATAAATCGTAGCTAAGCTATGACAAGTTCGTAATTGATTGCTTTTTCTTTTGTTATGCACTGCTAAAATTCGGCACAGAGATGAAAATATGCGATTCTGCATGACCAACATTTTTTATCGGACTTGTACTTTCTTAATAGCTAAAAGATTAATCTTTCCGAATATGGAGAAAATGTGTTCATACGCCGTACCATATTCATGTACAATAGCGTGCTGAAGTTTAATTACTTTTTTTATACACCCTGTATATAGATATTCTGTAAAATAATTTAAAATTTGTTTAGTCTCGAAGTTTCGACACTGGGCCTGCATGTGTATATGATCTGATCTCGGGACTAGATCTAGATCACTATATATAGGGACACCTTAAACCCAACGTTACCCTGGGTGACACAATAATTAATTATATATTCATATTAATACTCTATGTATATATTTAATATGTATGTGTAATATATATGTGTAATATATATTCATATTAATACTCTCAACAACTTCCTTTCTTTTTCAAAGAATAATTGTATGAATTTCTTGAATTTCAGCTTATAACTTACGGTGAAACACGAGATGAAGCTCTGAACATCATGACTAAGGCACTTGATTCGTACGTAATACGAGGTAACGATGTTTAGTTTTAGTTCTTGGGAAGGGGATATTTTATACTGGAGTGATTTATCATTTCATAACAGTATCTTATTCATCCAGTGTTACTACCAAAGAAATCGCAGTACAAACCGTGCAAAACATTTGGAAACAGTCTTCTCACATGTACTGATATGTATTGTATTGTATTGTATTGTAACTGTATTGTAACTGTATTGTAACTGTATTGTAACTGTAACTGTAACTGTATTGTAACTGTATTGTAACTGTATTGTAACTGTATTGTAACTGTATTGTAACTGTATTGTAACTGTATTGTAACTGTATTGTAACTGTATTGTAACTGTATTGTAACTGTATTGTAACTGTATTGTAACTGTATTGTAACTGTATAGAACTGTATATAGCAGGAATCGAAATTCTGTTTCCAGCGTTAGAAGTGCAAATTCACTCACCACTATGTACCCAAACTGCTCCTATCTGAGTGATGTGACTCCATCCGGAACCCCACCCTGTGACTCCATCTGGAACTTAAAATATTTTCTAAAAAGTGCTGGGATATAATATTATCATAGGTTATAAAGATAACAATTTCAAATTATGTAGCCTGCATGGCAGGCGGTACGTAGGAAATACCGCCTGCCGCAAAACTGGGTGTAAATGAACTACCGCCCCTGAAGCATCAACGCTATTTATAGATGCATTAATTAAGTAAACTCAAAATTAGCCACTCCCAAGCTGCTCCCAAGTCACAACTGCCCAACATAAAATAAATTCCTTGATTCTCAATCACCGCCCGACTGAATTTTAAAATCCTCGTGAAAACGTTTTATTTTTCGTTTATATACAATATAAATGTACCGCCCGACAAAATAATTCAAGACAGTTAATTTTTTCATATTTTATATAGAGTTTTTATTGCCATTTTAAACTTCCAATTTGAAACAAACAGAATTTTGAGTGAAATTTCATTGTATTTTAAAGAAACTCAGTCATTCTGTCATTGTTCGTGGAGATACGAACTATTGATATATAAATTATATAAATATAAAATATAAAAAATAAATCTCCCACTGTCTTCAACATTTCAAAGTGTAGACTGTGTCTAGTGATGAGAATCAAGGAATTTATTTTATGTGTTAATATAAACCAAGCCCGTTTAGCCGTTTAGCTGCCTTAAAACGGTGGTTTAATAAGCTCAAAATACAAAGCATGCAAGTCTATACTATAGATTCATCATCAGTCAACAACCAAACTGAAAGTAACAACATAAAACGCTCTCTGAGTTTCCAGCGATATACATACCCTTTTCTAGATATATACCTAATAATAATAAGCGAACGAACGAATGTATTCCTTCCACTCGTGAGCTCATTTACCATTGTCACAAATAGTAAATGTCCAGGCCTTGTGACCCTGGATGGGCACTTAAAAGGAAAGAATACACACACACAAAGGTTTATTTATTCAACCATTACAAGAGAACGATTGAACAACTGCGCATGAACCAACGTCCAAAGTGAATGCCTCTTGTTAGCCACCTACCAAATTATCATTAGCATAACAATATGTCTCACACAACTCATTTCCTTGTCGTCATATCATAACAAACCATATCAGGAAATATGAATATCAATTACAAACCTTTAGTCAAATCCATGACCTTCAGGAATATTTACCTACAACTGTAGGATTTAAGTGCAAAGCACTAAAAATAATATTATATTATAATATAATATATGAGTTGTGTGAGACATATTGTTATGCTAATGATAATTTGGTAGGTGGCTAACA